AAACAGCAGACTGGACTTCTACATAGACTGCTTCCGCCGACATGCACGGGCTGAAATTGTGGAAAAGCAGCATCACTTGCCCCATAACCTCAGCCGTGCAGAACACAATGCCATCCACAGCCTCAGAAACAACTCTGACATCATAATCGAAAAGGCTGACAAAGGAGGTGCTGTTGTCATCATGAATAGGTCGGAATATGAACAAGAGGCTGCTCGGCAGCTCTCCAACACCACTTTCTACAAGCCATTACCCTATGATCCCACTGAGAGTTACCAAAAGCAACTACAGCATTTGCTCAAGAAACTTCCTGAAAAAGCACAAGATCAAATCCGCACAGACACACCCCTGGAACCCCGACCTGGGATATTTTATCTACTACCTAAGATCCATAAACCTGGAAATCCTGGGCGCCCCATCATCTCAGGCATTGGCACCCTGACAGCAGGATTGTCTGGCTATGTAGACTCCCTCCTCAGGCCCTACGCTACCAGCACTCCCAGCTACCTTTGAGACACCACTGACTTCCTGAGGAAACTACAATCCATCGGTGATCTTCCTGATAACACCATCCTGGCCACTATGGATGAAGAAGCCCTCTACACCAACATTCGACACAAAGATGGACTACAAGCCATCAAGAACACTATCCCCGATAATGTCACGGCTAACCTGGTGGCTGAACTTTGTGACTTTGTCCTTACCCATAACTATTTCACATTTGGGGACAATGTATACCTTCAGATCAGCAGCACTGCTATGGGTACCCGCATGGCCCCACAGTATGCCAACATTTTTATGGCTGATTTAGAACAACGCTTCCTCAGCTCTCGTCCCCTAACGCCCCTACTCTACTTGCGCTATATTGATGACATCTTCATCATCTGGACCCATGGAAAAGAAGCCCTTGAGGAATTCCACCATGATTTCAACAATTTCCATCCCACCATCAACCTCAGCCTGGTTCAGTCCACACAAGAAATCCATTTTCTGGACACTACAGTGCTAATAAACGATGGTCACATAAACACCACCCTATACCAGAAACCTACTGACCGCTATTCCTACCTACATGCCTCCAGCTTTCACCCTGACCACACCACACGATCCATCGTCTACAGCCAAGCTCTGCGATACAACCACATTTGCTCCAACCCATCAGACAGAGACAAACACCTACAAGATCTCTATCAAGCATTCTTAGAGCTACAATACCCACCTGCAGAAGTGAAGAAACAGATTGATAGAGCCAGAAGAGTTCCCAGAAGTCACCTACTACAGGACAGGCCTAACAAAGAAAATAACAGAACGCCACTAGCCGTCACCTTCAGCCCCCAACTAAAACCCCTCCAACGCATTATTAAGGATCTACAACCTATCCTGAAGGATGACCCAACACTCTCACAAATCTTGGGAGACAGGCCAGTCCTTGCCTACAGACAGCCCCCCAACCTGAAGCAAATACTCACCAACAACCACATACCACACAACAGAACCACTAAACCAGGAACCTATCCTTGCAACAAAGCCCATTGCCAACTGTGCCCACGTATCTATTCGGGGGACACCATCACAGGGCCTAATAACATCAGCCACACTATCAGAAGCTCGTTCACCTGCACATCCACCAATGTGATATATGCCATGTGCCAGCAATGCCCCTCTGCCATGTACATTGGTCAAACTGGACAGTCTCTACGTAAAAGAATAAATGGACACAAATCAGATGTCAAGAATTATAACATTCATAAACCAGTCGGAGAACACTTCAATCTCTCTGGTCACGCAATTACGGACATGAAGGTCGCTATCTTAAAACAAAAAACTTCAAATCCAGACTCCAGCGAGAAACTGCTGAATTGGAATTCATTTGCAAATTGGATACTATTAATTTAGGCTTAAATAGAGATTGGGAGTGGCTAAGTCATTATGCAAGGTAGCCTATTTCCCCTTGTTTTTTCCTACACCCCGCCCCCCCCGACGTTCTGGTTAAACTTGGATTTATGCTGGAAATGGCCCACCTTGATTATCATACACATTGTAAGGAGAGTGGTCAGTTTGGATGAGCTATTACCAGCAGGAGAGTGAGTTTGTGTGTGTGGTTTTTGGAAAAGGGGGGGGGGAGGGTGAGAAAACCTGGATTTGTGATGGAAATGGCCCACCTTGATTATCATACACATTGTAAGGAGAGTGATCACTTTAGATAAGCTATTATCAGCAGGAGAGTGGGGTGGGAGGAGGTATTGTTTCATGGTCTCTGTGTATATAATGTCTTCTGCAGTTTCCACAGTATGCATCCGACGAAGTGAGCTGTAGCTCACGAAAGCTTATGCTCAAATAAATTGGTTAGTCTCTAAGGTGGCACAAGTACTCTTTTTTTTTTTTTTTGTATCTTGTTTTATTTTACTAAATATTAGTTTTTTTCCAGCATGGCTGTGAAGAACTTTACATGCCAGAATGAGAAAATATTTAACTGACACTTCAATAGGCCATAATCAGTTCTAAGCTATAGGTGACTTGCCGAGCTTTTGGACATGTTCGTTAACAACTTTATGTTTCCAGTATTTTGCAACTCGTCTGCAATCTAATACATGATACCTAGGTGGCTCCTGTGCCCAAGTCAATGGAGATACATATCGGTGCAACAAGTCTGCCTACATTGCTCCAAATGCAGGATCAGGGCTCTGTCCACTGATCCCACCTATATAATTTCTTAAAAGAAAAACAGTGATTTGTTACAATTCAGGAATAAAACTACTGTAACAAAAGATTTTTTAAAATATCTGTTATAGTTTCAGTATCTCCATCTAATGGAGAAAAATCTCTCTACATTAGACCTGCCATTTTAGTGATGAAAATTTGTAAGTAGTTTACATTTTGTAATTAGATAGAATGATCTGAGTATTTCATTGCACCACACTTTTCCACAACTAGTAACATCAAAAAAAAGTGCCAAATGTCAAAAGATTAAGCTCAGGCACTTCTGCTTTGCAACTATAAACATGCTTAAAACTTAAAGTTTTGCACTCTTCACTTCTCTTTAATGATATACTAGGCGGCTGTAAGGGTAATTTTATTTTTAAGTTCTTTGTTGGTTTATGACATTAGAAAATACCCGGCTCTGACTTTCCTGTTTTTGATGAAAGAACTAGGTTCAATATTTTGAGGACCTGGATGTTGATTGGATTTGGACTTGCCATAAATGTTGTATACAAACCTCACCCCCCTCATCCATCTCTCTAACTAAATTCTTTCAGGCATTATAATGAGGCAGAAAAGGGTACACAAACCATTTCAAAAAAATAATTTGCAGGTCACCAACAGTGGTGCATTTTCACTAGGACATCTTCACAGGAGAGGAAAAGTGGCTTACAGATTCCTGTATGCTTCAGATAGCCACATGCTCCTCATCCCACCCAAACTTCTCAAACAAATCAGAAAATTTCTGTATAAAAAGAGCTTTGTGAGAAATTACCTAAAAAAGCCCTATTTGTTCAGTTGTATCAGTTTGATGGTACTTGATAGAGGCCTTTACAAAAACTGTCTGTGATATTTAAATATTTAAATTAAAATCCTAACTAAACTGAGACCATTTCTTTTCATAAAAGAAACTCCAGGGACTGTATCTGTGTCTCAATTTATCCAGAAGTTAACTAGATATTCCTTTATGGTTAACATTTGAACATATTCTTGATGTAGTCAGAAGTCACAAGATGATTGAAAAACAAGAGGATACCAAAAAAACTTTAATGTCTGATTTCAGCAAATACTTTGATCTTAATATATAATGGCAGACAGTCAATGTCCAGGCCTCCCATGGACAATATGTTAATTAAGTGGACCTGATTATCATGAGTTCTGTCTTTTCAATTACATTCTATTGCGACGATTTGTAAAATCAGGACACAGTGATCCATTCAGAGTAAGCCACAAAAAGCTCAGAAAAAGGAGACTGCAAAGTATCAAAATTGTATTAATAAAGGATACAAATGATTTCTTTCCCAATTGACAAATAGCTTATTGGGCTGCAGTACATTTTTCAAAGTAAAGAGACGCTTTTAAACAAAAACAAAAAACAAAAAACAAAAAGATGAAAAAAAGCACTCAAATTTCTAGCCTACCAGGATTCTTACAAAATGTACACTAACAATACCATTTTTGATCATGAAGAAGCTTCACAGAACATGCTGCAAACCCTGTCAAATATTTTCTAGTTCCCCTTATAAATAAGTATATACACTCTGTTTAATCAGAAAGTGTATACACTTGTCAAAGGCATCATTACAAAGACTATTAGAAACCATACATTTGCTGATAAAAGTCTTGGGATGACACCGTTTGCTCTCTTTTTAGATTAAGGGAGACTTCAGTTATGCAAAGTCCCAAAGTATCTATTTGTTGTACACCATTAATATAAAAAGGACACAGCTTTAGTAGACTTTAAAAAAAAATTAAGTGTATAATACATTCTCCCTGTAATTTTCCCAAAACTTTATCATCACTATTTTGTGTTGATTTTGTTGCTTGTTTGCAATTTGAAGGACCTAAGAGATCTTTCCTAGTTCATCAAGTACTGGGAATAAAGTTAATTTTAAAAGATGAAAGAAAAAAAATTAATAGTTTTCTTTTTTACAAAATCATTTACATGAGTGAGTTTTCAGGGAAGCATCCTCATGCAGCCCCAGTAAAAGGTTTTCCCAACTGAAACACTATAGCTCACATTGAACAGAAAAAAATATATGTTCAAATTTTTGTGCTTAGTAAAACAAGACTGCCCTCTGTTGATGATGAACTTAGGATCAGCATGCCTGGGCTCAGGTAAAATACAGACCATGTGTACTGGCCAATTAAAGACCCATTTGACAAAAATAAATATTGAATTTGAACTTAACACATTCAAATGAGGATACAGACAATTATTTTTAAAAACAATGCACTGACTTCTAAGAGGAACTGAAATAAATAAAAAGTAATAAAAATAAAACAAAAAGGTCTGTTTTACCTGTTCATAATAGTGGATATTATTTTCGGTCACATTAAGAAATGCTGTTTTCATATCATGTTGCATGTTTTGTTTCCATCTATCCCAGTCAGCTTTCAGAGCGTTATTGGCACATTCCACTCTATCTTCAAGATTTCCAATCTCTTCTGTAAGCTAAGTAAGTTATTTAGAGACCGTCATTATTTAAAACGTGCTTGAAACCTACTGGTCACAGTACAGTAAGATGAAAAGAATAGAACAGAACATAGCATAATATTAAACTCAGGGTGAAGAAAGTCCTGTGCTTTGTTGTTAATCTTAGATTTTATACAAATTTAGTACCTCAATACAATTTCTAAACTACTACTATGACACAAAATCCAGAAAAGAATTAAATGTTACCAAAAATAATCTTGTCAATTGTAAAGTTAGTCTTTGGTACCACATTATTTGCACTTAAGAACAGAAATGCATTTCCTCCTTGCCAAAAAATACAAAACACAAAACCACACCCACCACCACACCTCTGCGGGATGCAGAATGCAATTATCCAAACTGGAGTTTTGGCCAGGCCATCTGAGAAAATTGTGCTGGGGTCTTTAATGATCTATATTTTCTGAAAGACCATTCAGAGGGAAGGCAATGGAACTTTTATGCAGGAACTTTCCCCTTTCCTGTATTGCACTTTACAATCTGACTGAGGAACTAATCAGTGTGGGAAAAAAAAAATTAAAACATGGGTCTTTGCTGCAGGCTAACTTTTCATTTCTGCAGAAGCCTTCTCAGGGAGCCTGGATCTGCAGCCTTCAGGCTGGCGAGCCGATAGTTTCTTCTAATTACTATAGATGCCAAAACCGAGTGTTGAGCCTGGTGAAATATGAGACATTTAATGGGGTAAAGTCCTCTACCTAATGAGCCATCTAGCCCTTCCAATAACTGCTCTTACCTTTGTACCTATTGCAATTTCTGAATCAAGCATGATAAATCTGGCTGGCAGCAAATATGGAAACTGATAAATCTTCCACAGTCAGGGAGCAAATTACTGTTCTGGGATTGCACAATGACCATTGGTAATATAGTCTCTTTTCTGAAGAAAGGATTTGTTGTTGTTGGGTTTTTTTGTCTAAGAGATTAGGTGCAAGTTCTTATCTTGATAGAATTTTTTTCTGCCAATTCTTCAATGCGCAAAGTGACAAGAATCAGAAAACTGAACACAGTAACTGGAACTTACTGAAGGAAAACAAATATACAAGTTACCCCAGTAGACCCTAATGAGCCAATGTTCTATATTTAGCAGGAGCACAGATGAAGAGCAGCTCTATAGTGGCTTAGCTGCAATTCTGCAAGACTGAAACTCAGCTGTGCCCTATGGACCTGGGAAAGTCAGGCTGAAATATTGCTATAATGCAGCTGGTAGTTTCAGCCAGTACTGGGGGAAACTCCACCTCCTTCTGTTCCCTTTACAAGGGCCCAGACACTATTTATCAGGCATCCTGCATCTCAAACACTCTGCTCTGTTCTCAGGTCAAGAGCGCCATTGGTGTAAAGTTGAATAATTCCCCTGAAGCTAAACAGCTCAAAGGGCATAAGCTCTTGTTAATCTGAACCTCCAAAAGTTTGCAATAACCAGTGAGGCCTTCAGATAATTAGGGTTCAACTGTAATTTAACATGCAAAGAATGCGTATGAATCAAAATTCAGACCACACCACAGAGTACGGAGAGCTTAAGATGTGCACCCACTGCTCTAAACAAGCCAGGAAGGACGCTGTTCCGAATTAAGTGATGCCTGTGGCACAACATACTTCTTTAGAACCTCAGAAAGTGTCCCTGTTTAATACCCTCACAGACCAAGAGACTGCATCTGCCATCCTAAGACTCTGTGCTGTGTCCATTGGTGCAAGTAGCTCATGAAAATCCCTTGCTGTAAGAAAAATACTGCCTCTGTAACCAAGCGGAGACAACCTGAATTAGTCAAGCAGCCCACTACCTGGAACATTTCCATTACAAAAGACTATGTGGAAATTTCTCTTTGCTTCCCATGTATTTTCAGCATGCACTTCACCAGTCCTTTATGATACAAATGGCTGGGCACATTATGAGACTGCTACCATCAATGCTCTCATGATTTCGCCACTTGCTTCAACCATCTCAAATAATCAGTAAAACCAAGATGACCTATGAGGCAATGCCATAAAGAGGACATTTAGAGCTATTGTATCAATAGTCATGGACATGATTCTAAAGCCAATCAATCCATCATTTTGCTGGGAAGACAGTACATTCCCTAACATTATCTGGAATCTATCAAGTTCTGTCTCGGAAACCAGACCATCAAAACAGGTCCTTCTTCCTGATGGATAAGAGCCCCCCAGGACGAAACTGTAGAACATAAAGGTTGATATGTGTATTAAAGTATAATCCTCACCTTTCTGACCTCCAATCTCAACTCAAAAGTAGATCCACAGTGGGGCAAGCTATAGGAGTAGAACCATATCGCCGCTCATAGCAGCCATAAACGCCTGGAAGGAACATCTTCTGAGAGGACATTGACATCACTAAGCCTTACCAGCCACTTCCCCTTGCATATCACCTTTAAGCCTATCCTTTCCCCATTCCAAGATTTATACCTGGGATGAATGTACTTAATTATATCCAGTTTCCTATGCTGGAGATTGGATCCTTCTACCCAGGCTCCTCTTGGTTCATGACTCACTAAATACCCAGCCAACACCAAGTACATAAATAATAGTTTTACAGGACTGAACACCCACCCTGTTCAAATAATGAACAGCAGTAAGAACGAACAGCAGTAATTCTATAGACCACCAGCCTTGTATTCAGCAGCATGAAGCAAAACAAGACCACAGTCAGTTAATAGCCTAGCTTCCAAAACTTCAATATGTGGTGAAGCTCAAGGAACCAAAATTACTCTTTTGGCCATATCCTGTATGATCCAATTGTGTTTTTCAAAAACACTAAAGTAGACTGCCTTAGAAATTAAAATATAGGTAGAAACTCTTGGGTTTTTTTTTTCTTCAAAATACCACACATTTTTAATTGGTGGTTGCGTTACAGGAAGACAGTTTAATGAACTGGGCAACATACCTGCAAAATGAATTTTCTATCTCATAAGTAAGCTGGGCAGAATTCAGTTAATTTTATTTGTTTGTTTGTAATTTCAAGAGTTAATATCTATTTTTATTTTTAAGCTTTTTTATTTTTATTTTTTAAATTTTCTCAGTTGTATGATATTATGGGTTTTAGGCATTTTTTTATTTTTATCAGTCTGAATTTTCACAGTTGAAAGAGGAGGTGTCAGATAGTAACTGTTTAATGACAGCAGAAGCTGTATGTAGTGATCTCAAAACGTAAAGCCACAAAGCAGGGAATGCAGAACTGCAGCTTCATCTCCAGTCCTAGGCATCACAGAACAGACTGGTCCAAACTCATTGTCCCACAGACATCAGCTGGAGTTTTGTTGATGGAAGGAGCAACAAACTGCTGCAAGATAGAGACTGTTTATCACACATTGTTCTGAGACATCCTGGTTTCACCGCAGCTGCACTGGGACTGGTAGCACGAATCAGCAAATCTTTAGTCTTTACAATCAGGATTGGTAATAGGAATATGCTGGGGGATGTGACTCTAGGATACAAAATAGGGTGCTGAGAGGCCACCCCACCACTGAGTGGCTCTGGCCCGGCATGGCAGATGGCCCCCTGCACTCCCAAGCCAGTGAATGAGTGCGGCTGTGACCACAGGGCAGCATGAGACTCCTTGGGTGGCCAAGGGGCCTGAGGTACCACATCCGTGTGGGAGGCTGCAGTTCTGGCTGGGTAGAGCAGAGACCCCTAGCCACAGGGAGGCCAATCCACTGCTGAATGGTTCCAGCCCAGGGGTGGTGGATGGCCCCTGCAACTCCCAGCTGGAGCATGAGTGAGGGGGGCCATGACAGGAGCATTGCAGGGGGCTTCCTGCCCAGCCTAGGCTCCAGGATACCACATCCCTGCAGGCACTAGGTGATGGGGGGAACTGCACTTGCCAACTCTATTGATGAGTATTTTTTTTCTTCAACTTGTGTGTCAGTTGAAAAACATGGTTTACTGACAACTAACAATTTAAACAGAATCCTTCCAAAACTAGAAGTTTTAGGTGCAGCAGCTTAGGCTGTCCTGGCTATCTGTGGCTGATGATATACCTTCACTTGTGTGGCACTTTCTAGGAAAGCATGTTGAATATTCTTGCAGTAATACATTTGCAGTCTTCACTGCAAATAAAAGGTGTGTTCTTAAATCAGGTTTGCTAACTTGCATTAGCAAACTTGGGTTAAATCAGCAGTGAAAACACAGAAATTCAGCTTTTAACTCGGGGTGAGTACCCCAAATTCAACCCCAGGCCTCCACTAGGCTTTCACTTGAGCTGCTAACCCAAGTTAAAAGCAGAGTTGTCATATCTTCACTTTAACCCGAGCCAGCTGAACACTGGTTAAGAACACACCCTTTTTTTGCAGCGAGGACATACCCTTAGACCTATATTCTGCCTCCAGATATGCAGTATACCCATCTTCCAGTGACGTCCATGGAAGAGTCGGAGCTGCAAGTGTGTCGAGGCCAGAATTTAGACCTTAAGGCAGTATGTTCCATTTTATCATTTTGGCTACGAAGCTTAGAATCTATTTGAAACATACCAGAAAGTAAACCAAGAACCACCACTCACTTTAGCAGACAAATTCTGAAGCCAAACAAGCCGGCCATTACAGTAGAAATCAGGGAATAAAGGCCTGGTCTCTAAACAGTAACATGCACATAGCATGGTGCTGATCTACAGGATACTTTCTTGCTGTTACAATTTATCCCCACAATAAAACTTGCCTATGAACATATTTTGTTTTGCCAGCCTTACTGAAGCAAGTAGTTTGATAGCTTAAATCTCTTACAGAGTGATCCCAGCAGAAAAAGAGTTAAACAGACGTTGCATTACTCACCAAGAACTCATATTCCAGACTATGGCCAGGGGAGAAAGCAATGGTTACTCCCAACAACAAAACAATGGTTACTCCCAACAACAAAAAGTCTTTATTTGAACTACAAGTTTCCACAGCAAAGCCACAACACACTGAAGAATACATTATGCACACTCAGCTAACCCAATTATAAACACACAATATAGCTTT